GAGGAAACACGGGCGGCTGAGGGGCTGGCTATCTCCGCACCTGCCGCCTACCTGTCTCTCCAGGCTGTGGAGGGAGCTGGCCTCTGCCTCTGGCAGCTGGTGGGAAGAAGGGGGGACAGGGCTTGAATCTGGGTCGGGGGTCGTCCCCACCCCACCTCCGTAGTAGCCCCCCATCCCCACCACAGACAGTGGTTGCGCACCTACTGCGCACCCAGCACCCTGCTCTGCCCCCTGACTCATCACTAAGGATTTATTGAGTGTCAGACCCTGTTTTGGGGCCACTCATTCACTGGCTCACTCAAATACCCGTTCTTCCAATAAACATCAGGTGAATCCTGTGAGCCAGTCATGGTCAACCATGCCTATCCTCGTGGGCTTACAGTCAAATGGGTGAACGTGAATAAAATACATGGCATGCCCAATAGCACTAAGTGCTTCGAATAAAAATAAAGGGAACTGGGAAGTGAGTGGGAGCTGTGACAATTTTAAATAAGGTAGGCAAGGGAGGTGTCTTTGGCAAGTGGTTTCTGAGCAAAGACCTAAAGGAAAAGAGGGAGGGAGCCACAGGAGCATCTGGGGAAGAGTGTTCCAAGCAGAGGGCACAGCACATGCAAAGGCCCAGGGGCAGGACAAGGCCTGGAACACTGGGGGAACAGCATGGAGGCCCGTGTGGCTGGAGCAGAATAAGCGCGGGTGGAGAGAGGGAGGCGGGAGCTAGGAGAGGCAAGGGGAGTCTTCCCCGCAAAACTGCACCCCACCCCGGGCTTAGTCTTAGGCCCATATCGCTGTGGCCCCTCACCTCCTGCTTCCTCTGTTCCTGGTGCTGCTCTAGGCCCCGGATCTTCTGCAGCAGGCGACCCCTCTCCTGTCGCAGCCGCGTGATCTCCTCGTAGGCATCTTGGTCATCCTGTTCCCCCCGCCGCAGGGACCCACCACCTTCACGTGAGGCCCACGGGCTGTCCCCTCCAATACCTGAGCCAGAGCTTCCTCCCCTCCTGCCTGCCCCTGTTCCTCCCCGCCATGGCCTGGCCGGGGCATCTCTCACCGGCACGGGGATGCTGGCAGGGGGCTGAGGTGCTTTCCGCTTCTTGGGAGCCCCTCGCTTTTCATGGCTGGACACAGAGTTCTGAGGGAAGGGGTGACAGGGGCACATGGGGGATATGCCAGCCTCCCACCCAAATATGCCAGCCCAGCCCCGCTGTCATCAGCCCCAAACTGGCCCTCACTTCCTGTGTGACCCTGAGCAAGTCCCTGGCTCTCCCTGGTCCTCACTGATCCCAGCATAGAAGGGGCCATACTTCCTGAGAGTTCCAGATCTTATGCTTCACTCTCTGCCCCTCTCTGTGCCTTGGTACGTGGTACTAGACCAGATTGTCTACAAGTTCCCTTTCCCTGTGGAGCTGAGATGCTGTAGGGCCGGGAGAGAGAAACAGGCCAGACCTGCCTTCTTCCCTGACCTACACCAGCCCTCACCAAACTCAGTTCCCTCTACCAGCCCACCCCAGCCCCATGGTTTGGCCCCATCCCCGCAGTGTTCTCACCCAGTCCTGAGAGTTATGCTGTGGGTGCTGCTGTCGCTTGGTGGCAGCATACCCTGAAGGTGGCATTCATCCCAAACAGGTCTTCCTAGGTCATAACCCTGGGACAGAAGTCCATCTCCTCCTTCTCTTCCCATAAAGCTTGGGGCAATGGGGGGGGGGCGGTGTGTGCAGGGGGAGGGGACTCATTCACTGCTTAGAGATCCATACCTGAGATGATGCCTCGCCTGAGTCATCCTCTAGGAGGGCAGGGAAGAGAGGGAAGCAGGGTCAGGCACTCTGTTTTAGGGGCTCCATTCCCAGCCCTAGGAAGGACACTAGTGAGGGGACTTATGGCTGGGGTGGGCTCCCAATTCCCCAAGAATCAGGACTTTGAAAGTAGGACTCAGCTACTTTTGCAGATGCTTAATAGGAGCGCCCTTGGAACTCTCAAAAGGGGAGGACAGTGGCACCTCCGGGATGGTGCAAGTAGGGGTGCCAATTCTTAGGAAAGGCAAAGATCCAAGGATAAGGATGGCCCAGGAAAGCAGAGTGGATCCCTAGATTAATCTAAAAGCTCTGGGGCTCCTTGAAACTGTTCTGAGTAGCATCAGGGGAAACATGAAACCTCCCGTAATGCAGCCAATAGAGATACCTTGAAACTACCTACAGCAGGGAAAGGGGTGACAAGAAACTGCTGGGAAGGAGATGGGGGGGTGCCTGAAGTTGCGTAGGAGGGGCTTGCATACCACTGGGTGGTGAGGGGCGCTGGGCTGCCTCCTGCAGGAGGTGCAGGATGAGTTTGTCTCCTGCTAGGGCACCGTAGTGAGCAGCATCCTGGCCCAGTGCGTCAGTGATGTCTGGCCGGGCCCCACCCTGCAGCAGCACCTCCACTGTTTCGGGGCTGGCCCCCTCACAGGCCAGCATCAGGGCTGTCCTACTAGGAGAGGGGGCTACTGAGGAAACAAGGACATTCGCACACCCCCAAGCCCTCCTCAACACCCAGGCTGGGTGGGTGGGTGGGGAGGGTCAGCTAGATCCCCCACCCACAGAAGTTAAGAGACTTGCCCAAGGTCACACGGCGTACAATGGACTAACTGGGAGGGGAGATACTCACCTGCCCTGCAGGTCCTGGTCATTTGCAGCTGCCCCCTGCTGCAGGAGAAGGCGGCACAAATCTGTGTGACACATCTGAGCCGCTATGAGAAGGGGTGTTGTACCTGACTGGTGGGAATTAGGGGAAAGATGAGACAAAAGGTGAGAGGCAGATCTTGGGAGGTAGGGAAGCCTATATGAGTGCCCCTGAACTTCACTCCAGACCTTCTCACACTTTTTAAAGGGTGCCTGGGATGCTGCCACTTGGTGACGGTGTACCTCAAATACATCATCTTCCCCAAAAGATCCCAGAGGCTCACCCGATCTCGGGGATTCAGATGTGCCTTGAAGGAGCAAAGCACTTCTGAGCAGGAGAGGCAGCCGCCGGCCGCTGGAAAAAAGAGGGAGGGTAGGTAGGGCAAGGTTTAGATATTTTCTGGGGGCTTTCTGCCTGCGGTGATTCTTATTCCTTATTTCATGAGAAGTTCCCACCTTCCCTGGGAGGGCAATGGCAAAGGTATGACTCCCACGTTACAGATGAGGAAACTGAGGTCCAGCCAGGTCCATGGTGAGCCAGTAGGGTCAGAGACAGAGCTATGATTAGGTTTGCTAACCCGCTGTCCCAAGCTCTTTCCACATTCCATCATGGCTCCCTCTTAAGGTGGAACTTTTGACTAATGTTTATGTATTTCCTCTCTTTGATTTAACTAGCATTGTGTACCTGCCACGCACCAAACCTCATACAGAGTGTTAATGTTTGCTGGATGGATCAGACAGTCAGCTGAGACTAGGCAGGCTTCTTGGGGTTGGGTCTGAGTTCTGAGTTTTGAAGGTGAAAGGGGGAGGGTAGAGTCTTCTTAGTAGGCAAGGGCTGTGAAGTGGGGGAGAGCATGGTAAGGTCAAGGAAGTGGGAGACAGTGTACATGTCCAGAGCTGTAAAGAAAGGAGGAAGCGTTTCATGCTAGGGGGGGTCCCTGGAAAAGTCAACAAGCTCTATATGATGACCTGCTGTGTGCCTGAGGGGGTATGGCATTTTGTTTTCTGCTGTAATCCCCATGCTTAGAACAGAGCCTGACACACATAGCAGGAACTCAGATATTTATTGAATGAAAAAACCTAGTGCGCTTCCAGTGTGACCAAAGGCATCACTACCATTAGGTGGCAGCATACTCCAACTGCAGGGAAGTCTTAACCAGTGATTAAAACCCCAAAGCAGGGGCGCCTGGGTGGCTCAGTTGGTTAAGCGACTGCCTTCGGCTCAGGTCGTGATCCTGGAGTCCCGGGATCGAGTCCCGCATCGGGCTCCCTGCTCGGCGGGGAGTCTGCTTCTCCCTCTGACCCTCCTCCCTCTCATACTCTCTGTCTCTCATTCTCTCTTTCTCAAATAAATAAATAAAATCTTTAAAAAAAAAAAAAAAAACCCCAAAGCAAACACAAATGTATTCCGTGTTCCCAAAAGGTCAAGACGTTTCTTGAGTCATTAGTGAAAGTCATTCCCCAATCTCACAGGCATGGTGGACAGATGCTGGGCTGAGATCTGGTTCTGGCAGGTGCGTCCTTTCCCCTCCCTCATGAAAGAGTTTAGATTTAATGATTTTTAAGGATGCCTGGACCTTTGGTCTTCCTGAGATCCCCTAGGATTTGGTCAAAGGAAATTGTACTCTGGTCACCCCCCACCCCAAGACTGTCACCACGGTTGTCACCCAGGCCTGGCAAACATCAGGCTGTGCTTTGGAGTCAGGCAGCCTGGGTCTTCCCTACTTTCTTGTGGGCGAGCCTCAATCACCTTTCCTGTCCAGTGGGGTGACTGTCTGTGGCTCAAAGGGTTGCTGAATATTAATGCTGAGCCCCAGGGCCTGGCACACAGCAGGAACTCGGTGAGGAAGGAGGAGGAAGGAAGCAGAAGGTTCATGGTAGGTCCCCAGGGCCCCAGGTAGAAGAATCCCCAGGCTCGCACCCTCTGGGTCATGGTGGGCAGGGCGAGGCTGGGCTGCACCCACCTGCATGATGCAGGGCCGTCCACCCACTGCTGTCCACAATATCCACCACGCAGGACGCCTGTGGGGGGAGGGGTGCGGGTCACTGGAGGTTCTCTAGGAACTGCCCCTTCTTAGGCTGTGCCAGAGTTCAGGCTCCTAGACTTAGCACTTCTTCCCTCCCCCATCTCCTCATGGGCCCCCAAGTGACTTGGCTTTTATGAAAATTGGTGAGAAAGTGGAAATCGCTGGGAGCTTGGGAGAAGCTGAGGGTTTAGGGGCTGGGTGGGAGCTCTGAGAGTGACTGTGCCTAAGAACTACCTAGGGTTTGGGGAGAAGCTGGGACTCAGGTGATAATCTGGTACTGGGCGTGTATCTTGGGTGTGGGAAGTATCCAGATGCTCAGGGAGTAGCTGGTTGTCCAGGGAGTAGCTGGGGCTCAGGAGTCAAAGAGGTTAAGACATATCTAGGATTCAGGGAGTATCTAGGGGCTTGGGGATTTCTAGAACTTGGGAGGGAGGGAGGAGCCAGAGGAAGGAAGCATCTAGGGTTGAGGGAGTATCTGATGCAAGACAGTAAATGACCTGTAGCAGTTGCTTCAAGCACTGTGGGTGCCCATACTTGGCGGCCAGGTGGAGGGCATTGTAACCTGAAAGGCACGGAGTGTCTGCTTGGGCTCCACAGACTCAAGGAGCTTCTGGTCACTCCCCAAACCTGTGTCAACTATTTGTAATGAGCTTCCCCGCGTCCAGTAAGTTCCCAAACCCCAGGTACTTCTCCAAACCATGCTACTCCGTGGCCAGAGACTCTCCAAGCTCCAGCTAGTCTGCATCCCAGCCTACACTCCACTCCCACGCACTCCTCAAGCCCTCCTGCCCCAGTGACTCCCCACGTCCCCAGCTACTCTATATGCTCAACGCCACTGCCCCTCAGAATCCAGCTGTCCTATATGTTTCCGCCAGTCTGTAAACCCTTGCTATTCCACGGGCTAACTCTTTCCCCGTCATCTTTGATACTCTACAAACCCTCAGCTGCTCCACACATCCCGGCTGCTCTGTCTCCTACGTTGCCCCAAAGCTTCAGACATGGCTATGCCCCACGCCTAGTTACCTCCTGAGCTCCAACTATCCCCTTTGGCCGTGCAGTCTATCTCAGATATTCCCTCAGGGCCCTAGTCAAGTCATACACCCAGATTCTCCTTTTGTCCCAGCTACTCCCAGAGCTCCAGCTACTCAACATACCTGAGATACTACCCCCTAACCTCTACTTGCTAGTCTCCTGTCGCCAGATACTTCTCAAGCTCAGGTACTCCTCTGTTCCAGCTACTTCCTCTGACTTAACCACTACCTGAGTCCTGGCCACTCCCTGACCACAAGCTGTCGACTGACCCTGATTGGTGCCAGCTAGAGTCTTTTTCCTTGGGCACTGCAGCCAGACATGTCCCTGTGCCTTCCTGGGAGCACTGAAAGGAACTCCCCCTTTTTCCCCAGGTCACCGAAGCCACGGAGCAGGGCCCCACTGGACCCCAGGCTGGGCACCTGGTCTGAGTTCCTCGTCCCTCCCCCAGGCCCAGCAGGTAGTACCTGCCCCATCCGTGCTCATGACGTTGGCGCCATGAGCCAGCATCACCTCTAGGCAGCTGGTTGCTCCCCTCATGGCAGCCAGGTGGAATCTGGAGGTCAGAGATTGGGGATCAGCTGCAGGATGGCTGCGCCTCGTCCCTCACACCCCCCAGGGCGTGGGCACTCACGCGGACTTGCCCTCGGGGTCCAGCTTCGTGGGCACCAGCCCCTTGCGGGTGATGAGGGCGGCCACCCGCGCCACGTCGTTGCTCTCCACGGCCTGCAGCAGCCGCTCATCACTTTTGCCCCACTCCTGGCTCTGCAGGGCACACCCAGAGGGTCGTGGGGCCAGGCGATCACTGCCCCCTCCCAGCCCCCCCTGGCCGGAGCTCCAGGCTTCTCCACCTGCCCCTGGGCACTTGCCTGGCGCCTGCCTCTGGCTGCCGGCTTCGGGATGGGGCAGGGGCCGCAGGGCGGGCAGGAGCCAAGGTCAGTGGGGCTGAGCCACAGCTGCAGGGGGAGGTAGTCCTGGGGAGGGGGTCTGAGACAGCATCCCCCCAGTCTGCATCCCCCAGCATCTGCCCCCAGGTCCATCCTACACCCACTACCAGCATCATCCTATTAAATTTCCCCCAGATCAGCACCCAGCCGGTCCTTTAGTGAAAACCCCCTTTCCAACATCACCCCACCTCCAAAATCTTCCCATAGGAGCCCCTAAAAGGGTCCCTTTAAATGTCCTTCAGAACTGTCCTCTGTCATTCATCCTTCTTAAACGGACCCCAAGATGCCACAATTGTCCCCCAAATGTTCCAAGATCTGTTCCCCAAAAAACCTTACTTAGCATGTAATGCATTCCAAAATGTCATATTCAAATTCCTTAAGTTTCTCCAAAACCATCCCCCTAAATGACCCCAACATCTGTCCTAAAAATGTCCTTCCAAAAAAATCCCTTGAATATTCTCTGAAATCGTTCTCCAAATGTCAATATATTTTCCCAAAAAATGATCCCTCAAAATATAGTCCAAATTGTCCCCTCAAACGAACCCATCCAAAACTATTCCCCAAAACTGTCCCTCCATATGTCCTCTAAATTTTCCAGTGTTCCCATCTGTTCTCAAAACTGCCTCCCAGAACGTCCCATGTCTCCCCAAATGTCCCACCCATCCCCCAACCTCTGCCCCCTTGCCCCGCGACCCCCTCACTCCGGGTCCTTCCCGGGTCTGGGACGGGGGTCCAGGCCGGGAGCGGCCAGGGGCGGGGAGGGGCGGAGTGGGGAGGGGAGAGTAAGGGCCCGAGCCCCGCCCGCCCCCGCGCCCCCTCCCCTGGCCCTACCGCGGAGGAGGCGGCGGCGCACACGCACAGCTGCTTCATGGCGGCCAGGGCTCCGGGTGCCGGGCTCGGTGCTCCGGGAGGCGACCGGGCCGAAAGGGGGG